GATAAGATGCAGTGCATGATATATATAGGTTCGTTAGATCATTTGATTATCTAATAGTTGATAAAGTAATATATATATGCGCATTATACTAATTAATAATTTAATTGCGTTACGTATTACTTAATTAGAGCGAACGTGAAATTGTACAATGTTGCGATACGTTTTTTAGGGGGAAGAGAAAAATCTATATAAAGAACTGCTGTTCACAGGTGGATGGGAGGTTTGGGAGGTTTGGGAAAAAAAATAAAGTCTTTTCCAAAAATTTTTTTTTTTAATTCATTGCTTCTAATGAAACTTAATCATTTTTTACTCAATAATCATAATAAAATATTCATTAGAAAGAGGAGAAAATTCTACACGTTTTTATTCATTTAAATTGTACTTTTTATTATATTTTTGATGATAGTATAATGCCATGTTAAAAATTGGAATTTTAAAAATTTTTTTTTTGTTTTGTTTTTTTTTTGTTTTTTTATTTTTTTAAAAATAAAAATTTAAATTACGTAATATTTTATTTCTGGTGAATTTTACCTGTGGTGAATTTTACCCTGGTGAATTCACCCCTGGTGAATTTCACCCCTGGTGAGCGTTAAGATCATCCTTATTTTTAATAAATAGTATTGTACCGATCTGGTGATTTTGTTTACTATCATGATGATAATGGTCAAAAAAAACTTGGAAGATTAAGATCAATTTTAAAAAATCATGATGGATATTATCAGTTACGAATTCAAAAAATTTTGGAATATAGTGATTTACCCGGAAATTTAAAAGGGTTATCAAGACAACGTCGTTCTATTACCAGTGAAGTATAGTTACAAGATGAACGATTTTTAATTATAATGACTTCTCAAATTTTAGAAAAAGTAACTATATTGATAATGTTTCAACATACAAAATATTCCTGATGGTTCATTGCGGATTAGTGAAATAATTTATAAATGTAATGACCGTTGGCACGTTCGTAATGTAAAGCTTTCATACCTACATCCATCTGATTACATTTCTATTAGAAATCCACTATCATCATCTATGCCAATCTATAAGCTGTTTTTAGATCTTTATTATGATGATTTTGGTACATTTAGAAATGTATACCATTCTCTAGGTGGTGTTTATGTACAGTTTGGAAATATGCCAGCACATCAAAGAAAGCTAATAAAGAACCATTTTGTTATTGGGTTT